TGGAGAGCTGTTGCAACACGAAGCTATCGTGGCCGAAGTGAAAGGGGTTGGAAACTCTAAGAGTTGTTTGCAACATTAGATTTTACTCTAGCCTAAGTGATATAGGTTGGCAACTCTTTGGAGAGCTGTTGCAACGTGAGCGGAGTGAAGCGATGGGCTCTGAAGAGACAACATTGGGTCTTGTGTCAATGATTTGAAGGCTTTCGCATCTTTCCAAGGCAATCATGGGGAGGGGGGTTTGCTTGCTTCCAAGGTATACCTTCCTTACCATAAATGGTAATGATGGCGACGGCCCCCTACTTCCAAGGCGACGCGTTTGGATCGAGTGTAGAACATGGCTTCTGAGAGGTCAGGAGATGCTTCTACGAGTGGGGATAGGCGAAGCGTTGAGGGTTCAGCCATTAGAAACCCAATAGTCATCTCTTCGGACGAAATAAGTAGAGCCATCAAGTTGGGTGAGAATATTTGGAAGCTACCTACTCCCCCTGTAGATACCTCTGTTCAGTGGGGGCCTCTAGTTATCCGTCCAAAGCCACTTCGAAAACCCCAGAGAAATGTAGACGGGTATTTAGGATACCAGACAATGTAGAATTGATCGTCCCCAACCCAAGTGAGAGGCCTTACTATCCGAGGCCGGGCTGTGTGGCCGTAAGCAAACACTTGTTTAGGTCAGGTCTTAGGCTTCCCATTTACCCATTTTTTAGGTTAGTTCTCTAAACCTATGGGTTAGCACCGACCCAACTCAATCCTAACTCCTGGTCTCAGATGGTTGGGTCATGGATGTTCTGGCGACGGGCTAGCTTAGGACTAGATATACCTTTAGCGTATTTTACTTCTTCTTCTTCCCTCAAAGTGTGGCTGGGGGTGAGAAGAGAAAAGGATAGTACTACTTGTCCCCTTGGGGTCCCATTCCCCATTCGTGGTGGGGTTGCCCTCTTCAATAAAGGAGTGGAAGAGCTCCTAGTTCTGGGAAGCTGGGAGGTGGGATACCATGGAGGACGACCACATGGCTCCCCTCACCGTCCCCACGACTTATTGCTTAGCCAGTAAGTGATTTCACTTAGTTGATTTGATTTGAGCGAATTCTTATGGTTTAATATCCTCTTTTTCTGCAGGCTCGCTTTCGAGGTGTAAGATTTTCGAGGAGGACGGGGACACTACTAGTTAAATCTACTGGTAACCTTTTAAGGATCACAGCTACGCCGAGCTGATCGACAAAAACTCCAACTTTACTCTGAACGATTTAATGGCGACCTAGGGTGAGTTCGTCTTCCATAGTTCTTGTTTAACATTTTTGGTTTGGGTGCTAACACTTTCCTCTTCGTGTAGATGACTTTTTGAAGAAGAAGGTTGCAAGGCCAAATTTCGCTACGATCTGCTGTAGCGTAGCCGAGGCGAGGGCCCTGAAAACCAGCTCGTCAGCATATAAGAAGGAAACGGAGAGGTTGCTTCAACTGAGTAAGACCCAACAGCCTTCGGAGGAGGACGAGGTGGAGGAAGGAGCCTCCCTCGTTAAAAAGAAAAGGCTTCGCCTAGCAGGGGCTTCCTCATCTGCCACCACTATCTAGCCGCCTCCCCCAGTCCCTTCTGGGGTGACCATTGTGAAGCCGACAGAGGTCCCAAGGGCTGTCATGCCAATAACTACCCTCCTAACGGAGAGGCCGCCCGAAAGAGGTTAAAAAAGGCTGCAAATCCTCCTCGCAGTAAAATAACTGATTTTCTGGGGAGCAAGGATGATGATCTCTTCGAGGCAGTTCTGGAGATACTGCCCCTTGAAACTACTTCTGCCGCCTGTGTCCATAATAAATGGAGGATCTTCTGGCCACCAATAACGCCTATGTGACGAGGGCATTAACTATTGGCGCGACGACAGAAGATTTGGTTCGGGGCCTCCAAAAAAAGAACGAGGAGCTGGAGGAGAGGCTCAAGGGCTCGGAGAGGTGGGAGGAGGAGGTGAAGAAGGCCAAAAATGAGGCTGAGGATAAGTGGACTGAGGCTGCTGTGAAATTGGACTCTACGGAGATACAAGTGAACCGGTTGAGAATGAACTTCATGAGTCAACTTCCCAAGTAGCTGCGCTTACGAAACTAATCGATCAGTCTAATGAGCACCAACGAATCGCCTCCAAGGCCTTAGAGCGGGCGAAAAAAGAAAAGGCCGAATTCAAGACGCTCTCTAAAGCTTAAGTGAAGGAGATTGAATCTTTAAGGGTCGAAGCGAAGTTAGCGGGCGATGCGGCAGTTAAGAATTATATTGATCACTTTGAGGAGACGAAGGAATATGATGACTTTGCCAATTATTGGGCTTCGTGGAGTGCCCAAGAGATAATGTCCCGCCTGCGAGATAGGCACCTAAAGCTTGACATAACCTTTCTAGAGAATGAGTTTGGCTGCCCAACTGGAGGTCGGCCAGAGGCGGAGGAGAAAGAGAAGGCCCCCCACGAGGAGGTAGGAGTGGGGGCCATTGTTAATGTAGATCCTTAGCTATTTTTTTTCTTTCTTCCTTGTAATGGCTTCAGCCTCGATCGGTATGGTAATGAAATTTGTTTTCTAAGTGTTGTCGCTTCTTTTTACTTTATTACAATTGCACAGTTTAATCGCCTCGACTTACATTAACTACTTAATAAGATCGAAGAAGACAATGAAGGACTGATATTGCATCGGCCTTGCTTAACCACTTAATAAAATGGAAGAAGCCAATGAAGAACTGCTATTGCATCAGCCTTGCTTAACCACTTAATAAAATGGAAAAAGCCAATGAAGTACTGATATTGCATCGGCCTTGCTTA